AATTCTCAAAGCAATATCCATATTAATTCATTATATGAAGTATGTATGTTGCTACATATAGTACTCTAAGAAGTTTTAGAATCACAAATTCATTCAACAAACATTGACAGAGCACTTATATACCAAGCACTGTGCTATGGAATGTGGGGAAAAGATGGAAACATGCTCTCACCCTTCAAAACTCGTCCAGCAGGAAAAACAGATACACATAGTAGTTAGAATATGATGTAGTAAGTGTTAAAAGGCTGACAGATATAAAATGCTCTGGTAGCATAAAGAAAGTAACAGTCTGCCTAAAACAGGAGTTTTCAGAGGTAGTGGAGAGGGATAAATTCCAGGAAGAATATGTAAAGATAGATGAAAGGGACTCTTAAAATTAGTTTTGGCATTGCTTATAGTTAAAAAATAGTATGAAAGAGATAAGCCAGGAAAGGTAAGCTGGAGGTGGATGGAGATAAATCTTATAAGCCAGTGGTTCTCAACCTTGGCTGCACATGAGAATCACCTGGGAATCTTTTTAAAATCCTGATTTCTGGGCCTCATTCTCCGGAAATTCTGTTTCTTTGTTATGGGGTGGGGCCACAACATTAGTAACGAAGAAACAGAATTTCCGGAAGATGAGGCCCAGAAATCAGGATTTTAAAAAGATTCCTAGGTGATTCTAATGTGCAGCCAAGGTTGAGAACCACTGTTATAAGCCAAGTTTGAGGGCTTTACACATGATTCTGGATGCCAGTGTTTCTCAACATGTGGTGCTGGAACAGCAGCAGCAGTTTCACCTGGTAACTTGTTAGAAATGCTAATTTTCAGGTCCCACCCTAGATCTACTGAATCAGAAATTCTGGGGTTTGCCCAGCCCGTGTGGCTCAGTGGTTGAGCATTGACCTCTGAACCAGGAGGTCACGGTTCAATTCCCATTGGGCTGGTGCATGCTCAGGTTGTGGGCTTGAGCCTCAGTAGGGGGCATGCAGGAGGCAGCCGATCAATGATTCTCTCTCATCATTGATGTTTCTCTCCCTCTCATTTCCTCTCTGAAATCAATAAAAATATATATTTTTAAAAATTAAAAAAAAATCTGGGGTTGGGGCCCTCCAGATGATTCTGATGCATACTACACTTGGAACCACTGCTTCAGGCAATGGGAAATCGCCATAGGATTTTAAGCAGGGAACTGACTGGATAAGATCTTAAGTAGGAAACTGATTGCCATTGACCAGTCAAGCACAGCACCTGACTATAGAGTAGTCATAGTGAGAAGAAAAAAGCTGTTGAATCACTGTGGCATAGAGAGATGATGAGGGCCTAGATCAGTGGTTCTCAACCTTGGCTGCACATTAGAATCACCTGGGAATCTTTTTTTTTTTTAAATGTATTTTATTGATATTTTACAGAGAGGAAGGGAGAGAGATAGAGAGTTAGAAACATCGATGAGAGAAACATCGATCAGCTGCCTCCTGCACATCTCCCACTGGGGATGTGCCCCAACCAAGGTATATGCCCTTGACCGGAATCGAACCTGGGACCTTTCAGTCCCCAGGCCGACGCTCTATCCACTGAGCCAAACCGGTTTCAGCATGGGAATCTTTTTAAAATCCTTATTTCTGGGCCTCATCTTCCAGAAATTCTGTTTCCCACCCCATAACAAAGAAACAGAATTTCCGGAAGATGAGGCCCAGAAATCAGGATTTTAAAAAGATTCCCAGGTGATTCTCATGTGCAGCCAAGGTTGAGAACCACTGGCCTAGATTAAGACAGTAGGAATGGAGAGGAAACAGATTTTAGAGATGCTTTGCAGGTGGCCCAAGTTCTATCAAGAGACTAGGAGAGATCCATACAAAGGTGTTACTGAAATGGCTTTTACATAAAAACATGTTGTACTCTTGTTGAATGTATTGACCACTAGATGTTTTAAGAAATGATCCAGAATAAAGGAAGGTCAAGAGCAACGTCTATGTTTTCCCATGGTGTCAAGAAAAAAGGGTGCCCTGGCTTGCACACGTGTCTCCCTGGTCTGCTTGGCAATTCTACTTCTCACTGTAAGTTAGTAAACTGGCATTCATATATTAACAAAGAAATCTTTTGAGTTTGGTTAGTGTGAGTCAATCCCTGAGATTGATGAATAATTTCTGGATGTGCTGGAAAAATTAAATTTCAAACCCTGAAAAGTTAAAAAAAAAATGTTCTGGTGATCTAACCAAGATACTACCAAGGTGAGGCCCTGCTAGAACCACCTTGTTTTTATTCTAGCTTCATCACTGATCACATAGTCCAGTTACTTCAGGAAAAAGTTGTAATGAGTGAAAGAATCAGACTTTGTACTATGCCATGAAGGTCAAGAAAGTCAAGTGGAACTGTTATTTCTGATTTTGGAAATAGGATTTAGCTGAGGCAATCTTTAATTTCCTGATGGAGAGGAGAATGAGAAAGAGAGGTACAGGTCAACCTATTCAGTAATTTCTATTTCTATTAGGACTCTGGATACCTCTTGTTACTTATTGAATGTTCTTTTAGTTGATATCAATATCTTGGCTTATTTGACAATCTTATTTTGGCCAAGAATAATTCCCAATTAAAAAAAATGCACTATTTTATGGAATTGGAGAACTATAAAAGACCCTGGAGATTAAGATAAAACTTTCATATTACAGATGAGGAAATGGAAGCCCTCAAAGAGCAAATCACTTAATCTGTTTATTGTAGCATTCTCCAGAATGCTACAGGGTGGCAAAACCAGATGAAGAGCAATACTGATAATCTCCTTTAAATTTTAGATAAGATTTTAAATTCCTCTATTTTTGCCCAGGCGGTATGGCTCAGTGGTTGAGCACCAATCTATGAACCAAGAGGTCATGGGTTTGATTCTGGTCTGGGCACATGCCCAGGTTGCAGGCTTGATCCCCAGTAGGGGGTGTGCAGGAGGGAGCCAATCAATGACTCTCTCATCATTGATGTTTCTATCACTCTCTCCCTCTTACTTCCTCTCTAAAATCAATGAAAATATATATTTTTTAAAATTAAAATAAAAAATAAATTCCTCTATTTTCCATTTTAAACTTTTTAAAAAACAGAAAAATAATAGCAAATTACTTACTTTATTTATCTAGTAGAGAATGGGGAAGTTTTCTTGGAGTTTCTTGTTTTATATTTTCAGGAATTGGAGTTAAATGTAACAAGCTCCATTAAAAAATATTTGGGGAGAAAATGTGCATGAACAAGTTAAGGGAAGAAACATGCATTATTTTATAAGCTATTTGTTCTATGTCCTATATTTGCCTATAAAAGAGTACCATTACACTGAATATTGTGCATTATATTTAATTATATATTACACGTAACGGGAATCTACATAACTACCTCATTTGCAAAATTCCACATTTTCAAATATACTGATATTTGAGCAAACCTCTTATTTTGAGAGTTCAAGTGCTTCAGAAACTCCCATCCTGTTTGGGTATGTAGACATTAACAACTTGAAAGGCACGTTTGGCCTCATTTTCCAAACTTCCAACTGCTTTATACCAAATATACCATGATCTAAAAGTTGGTGTCCACTCCCTATACAATATCCTGTATATCGCATCTTATAGTCAGATTTCCAGCACTTAGGAAACGTCGACAAGATTTTCAGCATTAAGAATATATTGCCCTGACCGGTTTGGCTCAATGGATAGAGCGTCGGCCTGTGGACTGAAGGATCCTAGGTTCGATTCCAGTCAAGGGCATGTACCTTGGTTGCGGGCACATCCTCAGTAGGGGGTGTGCAGGAGGCAGCTGATCGATGTTTCTCTCTCATCGATGTTTCTAACTCTCTATCCCTCTCCCTTCCTCTCTGTAAAAAAAAATCAATAAAATATATTTTTTTTAAAAAGAATATATTAAACCCTATGTGTGCCCTGCCTGAAAAAGTAGACTTTTCCCTGTCTGGAATTCACATTAAGAATGCAATGCATTCCTAAAGAACAGGACTGCTTTTTAGGCAAGATCCAAAAGATCCAATTTTTCAGGTTTGCGTCAATCTCATTTCCTTTCAAATGTAAAAAATCTGGGACTGTTTTCATCTAATATTTGCCCCCTCACCCCCCTATATGAGAGGTCTTTGAGTCTACTGGTGCAGAAATGCTACTACAGTCCGTAGAGGACAGATGTCAGTTACTTTACCCAGAAAGGGAAACCGCAGAGCACTGATTAAGGGCGGGAGGGCAGGGGAGAGAGTATCAAACGGTCTGTCCTAGGACTTCAGCTCCACCTGATTGGCCGGGCCCAGCCTTTCCAGCCCCCATCCCCACACAGGCCGGCTCTAAGCGAAACAGGTCATGTGAGCCTGTTTACAGCCGAGCAGCTGGTGCAACCATCAGGATCCATGCAGAGGTCCTGGAAGGGGGAAGCATACAGGCCACATAGCCCCTACACCCCACCCCCACCATTCTAAGAAGGCGTTCGTTCTCCCTCCCAGCCTCTCCACCCCACCTTCATCTCCCTCCAGCCACCCCAGGACGCCTCGCTCCAACCCCGCCGATTTCCTTCCAGTTGCTCAATGAGTGCACCAGTAGAGCTGGAGGAAAGAAGAAAGGCAAGGACGGTGTCACCCCGAACAGGGAGTCAACTTCCCTCCCCCAGCTCTCCTCAAAACATCCGTCAAAGAGTTCTCCCCAGAGTCGCATCCCCGGGGTAACCGAACTCTGTCTGGCAAGCACAGCAAGGTTCCCGAGCCTGCTGCCTCTGCCCGTGCAGGAGAAACACACACAGGAGCCGGCCAGACTAGGGGCTGGGATCCGCGTACTAGAGGGTAATTGAGAGAGATAGAGCAGAAAGAACCCCATTAGATTCCTTCTCTGCACCTCCCACCCGCATCCAGGCGCCACGGAGCCCTGCTGTCAGTCACTGAGCCAGGCTCTGGGTTTGGGGACTGCTCGTTCTTTCCACAGGGTCTCTCGGCAACGTAACTTCCACGTTTTCCCGAAGTCGGAGGAGTGTGTGACAGGACGGTGGGGGACTCTCACCTCGGCAAACCCGGCTCCAAGGCTGCGACTGCTCCTTCAGTCCTTTGTCAGCGTCTCTAGGCTGCACTGCCTGCTGGGATATCGGAGGACTCAAATGCCACCTCTCTTCGCCCTCTAGGACGAGAGCTGCTGTTATGAGGTGGGTGGGAAAAAGGAAGAAGAGGTGGAGCCGGGGGCGGGGCCTGCGCTGAGGGAGGGGCTTCCTTACTGACACCTGGCCTCTAGGGTTTCTTCCTTCTCAGGGCTCCAAACTTCTTCCTTCTGTCTCTAACCAGTCCCTCCCCCTCCCTCCCCTTCCTCCCTTCCTCTTCTTCCCTTTCCCTCTCTTCCCCTTTCCTCCCCTCCCCTCCCCTCCTTCCCCTCCCCTCCCATCCAGTCAAGGGCATGTACCTTGGTTGTGGGCAAATCCCCAGTAGGAGGTGTGCAGGAGGCAGCTGATTGATGTTTCTAACTCTCTATCCCTCTCCCTTCCGCTCTGTGAAAAATCAATAAAATATATTTTAAAAAAATCTAGTTGAATTGTAGGACACCCAGCTGGGGAAATGGGCAAATCTACACTTTAGAATTGGGGGAGCTGAATCTTACCTGGAAATTTTTATTCAGTAGGTTTAGGAAGATTCTGGGAATATGTTTTAACAAGAGCTCCGAGGGATTCGTTATCTTCTGGGAAGTTTGGGAAACCAGGAGAGAAAGCAAGATGCGCAGGAATTCACACTATAGGGTATGATCCCTAATACAGAGACTCAAACACACATACCTAAATAGTACAGAGATAGAGTTTTGAGTTGGAATAGTAAAATAGACCTTATAAGTGGAGAGCATCGATAC